GGCGTGGTCCCACCCCTAATAGGTTTAATGTGCATATCTCCTAAACCGCTAATGCTATAATAACAAAATTCACTGGAAGCAAATGTTTTTAGAACCTCTACCTACAGTGTGAAAATAGTTGAAATCGGGTGGCAACTCCGCCCACTCCCCATATAACGGTACTGTTAAAAACTACTAAAAACGTGATAAATCAAGCACTAAACACGCCAGAGACATTAAATTATATCTCTGGGATGGTATGAGATGACTTTATAGGAACCGCATTCAAAATTAGTCAGTGGGCGTGGCACCGCCCACTTTTAGGTGAAAACCCATATCTTGGGACCTGCTAAACCTGCTAAATGAAATGATGAAGTCCAGAATTCGACTTCATTTCGAAAGAGTTCGAATTTGTCCAGTTGCACTTTCATATTTGTTTTTTTGATTTTTCCTATATAGTTTCTTAGAATATCATCTATAGTTCTTTCAAATGTCGGATTCTTTTAAAGGAAGTTAGTGGAATCCGCTTTTTAGATCCAATATAGAAAAGTATTTATTATTCCCTAATTGCGCAATGATTTCATTTATTTCGAGTATGGGGTATTTGTCGGAAATTGTGAAATTTCTTATAATCAATTACGAGTCTAAATTTCTTTTCGCCGGAAGCGAATATTATATATGCTGATTAAAATCACCGTGGTTTCTAACCCATTTTTATAGGCATTATTATAGTTTCAAAGTCAATTTGTATATTTTTAGGCATTAAGTATGACCAGAGACCGTTTGTATATTGCGTTTGTTCTATTTACCAATAACCTTGACATTTGAAGAGCTACGCTTAGAAGAAATATTCAGCTGGACTTCCGTTTGTATTCCTGCATCCACAAAGTAACACAAGTTGTGCCGCGTCATATAAAGAATTTGTGGCTGTATTTATCATATTTTATCTTTGCACACACACATACAAAATTCTAAACATATGTATATTAATTTTATGAGAAACCCCAAGGAGATGCAAAAGGTGTTAACTTTCAGGCGACTAATCTGCAAAAACTAGTTTTTTATTATTGTCCTTCCCGCTTATCAAAATGTAAAAATCGCAAAATAACGAATGACTGAGCAAGCAAAAAGGCAAATCAGCACACTTTATGCACAAACACACACAAACACAGGTATACAGATTTTTTTTCTCTGGAACTGCATAGAAATCGAGGTGATTTTTCGGCGCGATATGAGTACATATTAACAGAATTTGAAAGATAAAAGGAAATGTTGAGCACCAAAGTGGAAGAGTGACCGGCCGCAACATTTGTAAACAGTCGAAAAACATGTGTGTATTATTTAGATATGAGATCGGAGATGTGTGTGGTTTGATAATTTAAATTTGTAGTTATTTGGTGTGATACTTACTTACATATATAGAAACAAATATTTCTTATAGTTTTCAAGGTGCGCTTATTTGTTGTTGTTGCTATTTTTTAAATGTTTTTTCCCGTGCCACATCGCCGAGCCATCAAATGTTTATAGTTGCTTACAGTTAAGGTCTACTTAAAGAATTGAGAGTCAAAAAAAAAGAAGAAGAAAATACAAACAAAACAAAACAAAAAAACAGTTGCATCCAATAAAATTTAATTTTTATATCAGACAAGCTACTGTAATAAAACAAAAAATAAGAGAAAATCAACAAATAAACGCTTCCAATTCAAATATAAACAAATAATACTCGTAGATTATCTGAAAACTGATAAGATCCGTTGGCAGCGTTTCAAGAGTTAGAAATTGACTTTGCTTTTTTTCTCCGTCTACTTCGCTACTTCAAAACTGGTGGAGTTATGTGGAGAGCGAGACTGATCGCTGTTGTTTTCCAGATTGAGCATTTAAGTTCTTTATTGTTGTTGTTACATATATATTTATACTTATGTTTTGTAAATACTAGCTTCGGCTGACCAATTTGCTAACAAATTTTTGTGGAAAACCCAACACTTGTGAAGTGTTGACGCAGGAATCGCAGCCTTTTTCACAAGTTTCACGCATTCTGTTGTTTTGTTGTTGTATTTTCCCTCTTTTTTAGGTTGTAAGACTAGTGCACCCTCATTTGCTCACTCTCTTCTAAAAAAAGCCTAGTTTGTGCTTCTTGCTTATAATTGCTAAGCAATATTTTTGTGTTTTCTTAATTACTAAATTGCTTTTGGCTATTTTGTTCGGAAAAAATGCCGGTCATTGCTTGTTTAGTTAAAACAATTTTCTATTATTCTCTATTAACTTGTCAGAATTCATTTGTCGTGGTTTTTATATTTTTAATGCCCATTATTAGTTGTTGGCGCCATATGTACTTTTTTCTTACCAAAGAAGCTATTCTACGCTTCGTTTGTGTTTACATAATTCTTTGAAAAATAGCTTCTGGGTTTACACTCAAATCTTCTATACGGAAACATAAGTCTTAAAACAATGAACGGGAACGAAATTTAGACCAAAATAGATATACATTTACAAAAGCCAAACGATCCTCAACTTCAAATTTCTTTATTTTTCTAAAGGTGCTCTATATGTATAGAACTTTATTTAGATCGGCCAGTTTGTACAGCAGCCATATACTATAGTGGTCTGATATCGGTCGATCCGAAAAACAAGCAGCTTTTTGCGGAAAAAAAGACGTGTGCTAAATTTCGGAACGACATCTCATAAACTAAGGACTAGTTCTCATATATACAGATGGACATGGCTAAATTAATTCACGCTGATCATTTATATTATATATATATACTTTATAGGATCTACTAATTTTTTGCCATGTTGCTGCTGAGTATAATAGTTTTATTCACTTAACGGTTGTTTGTATCATCTAAAACCAATTTAGATGTAGGGTTATATAATATATCTATAAATGAGCAGGATGACGAGGCGAGTTGAAATCTGGATGTCTGTCTGACCGTCCGTCCGTCTGTCTGTGCACCGGTTTTGTTAAACTAGTGTAACTAGTAAAAGTATGATAAATCAATAACTAAATGCGTCAGAGATATTCAATTTTACACCCAGGATGACACAAGAGGGCCATAGGAGACGGTGGGTGTGGCACCGCCCACTTTTCATTCTTACAATATTCCCATGTTGCAGAGCGAAAATGGAAGAAATCGTATCACAATCACGCCTACTTCCCATATAACACAATTCTAAATTTCGTCTGATTCTTTTACTTTTCACTATGCAAATGAAGCAACAATGTTTGCACGAATAGTCCCTCTAAAGGGTGCCACCTTATGACAAAAACTTGTCCAAATCTAACCAAAACTTTTCAAACTACTTGATTTAATAGCGAAAATATCGGACAATGTGTGATATATAATTGGAATTCATAGAGAATGCGTTCCTGATTATAGCATGTCTGAGTGTCAAAAATGGGTTGAATCGGATCAATATTTCCCTTAGTCCCCATATACCTCATATAACGATTTTTAAACTTTCGCGTGACTTTATACCGCATATATCAACCAGTATGTGATATTAAGTCTTAAGGAGCGTATTTTCCTAATAATAGTGTACCTTTGTGCCTGAAATAAGTAAAAACTTACTTAAGTGAAAACTTATCTTAGCACCCATATAACTAATCAGTGAATTTTTAAATATTCACTAGATTTTACTCTATATATGTTGGTGGCGGTATCTGAGGTACTTTAATGAAAGTTAGGGAGCATTTTATTATGTTAATAGTATATTGTATTATCAAAAATAGATAAAATTGGGTCAATACTACATCTATGATATCCCAACATTAGATTTTCAAAATTCCGGGTGGCGTTATGCCATATATGTCAGGTTATATGTAAGATATCTTAGCGAAATTAACTGATTAATATTGCATATACTATAGTTCATCGTATAATATTGGATTTACTATAGTTCAATGATGACAATATGTGAATTTAGTCTACGTAATACTCGAACTCTCAAATACTACATATATTGAGTTTCGTTATTTTATGGAACCTTATGCCGAACATGTCGTGCAATGTGTGTATTGTATATTTATAAAATTGTCTGAAAAATTATCTCAAGTATACCTCAGAAATGTCAAAATTAACTTAATCAGCCTATCCGTTTCTCTGTTTATAGTCTGCATAATAATTTCCGACTTTTCACCTGACAAAATGTGTGATACTTAATAAAATTAAATGAACAAGTTTCCTTAAAAATTGTGTGGTAATATGAATCAAGTTGGTCTACACTTTTGTCCAAACCTTTTATCCCTTAAATAATGAATTGCGATCCTATGGTATCTGTCTTAAATCACTTACCTGGAGAGTTTTGAAATCTTTCTTGTTGCTAAATTCAGTCCACCTCACTCAGATGTATTGATATCAGAAGTCTCTGGAATAGAAATTATGTTGGAAGTGGGTGCTCTTCTAATTGTGAATATAAATAAGTACGGAAAGCCTTTACTCTCAGCAGGAGAGAAAGTTGGCTCCAAGGCACGATAATGACATGTAACCATCTCAGTAAATTTGTGACAAGCACAAAGCGCTTTGTCAGTACACGAGGGTATGTTTTGATTTATACGTAGGAGTTCTAGGCATCACAAAGGACCCGCGTTTTTACAAATCTAAACAACGAATACCATGTCTTCAAGCAGATTACAGTAGTTCCAAAAGTAGGTATGTAGTCTTACCTAAAAACAAGATGAATTTTCGAATTAAAACTATAAAGTAACTTTTTTTTTATCAAATACAACAATTTGGATAGCCAGCAAGAGATATTTCATTATGATTTAATTTCGGTTTTCGGATCAAGTTTCCAACGATTTAAAAAGTAAAAAATTATGTTAATGTAGCGTTATCATATATATTTAAGTTACTCCAACTGAAACTTTTTAATTTTTCTTCAAGGATGACTCATGAGTCTGATTTCTTGCAAACCTGATTTTAGTTAAAAAATTTTACTTATTTTGTATTATCATTTTCACTGCTCTTAAACCCAGAATTGCAAAACACTTAAACATATATTAATAATATCTTCTAAAATATTTATCAACGTTTCTGCTGCCCTAAAATCCACGCTCGCCAACGCACGCTAACCAATTCGACCGCAAATATAGCGGAGGCCATCGTCCAAGCAAAGCCAAAGAAGGGCCACATGAACGAAAAATATGCCATATCAAGTGGTTGATCCTGCGCATGATCTCCTTGTGAAAGACTTTTAATGATACCAGAGCGCACCGCTTCCACATATGTTGTATAAATCAAATACTTTTGCAAACCATGATCTACAATGCGCGTAAGAAACAGATCAAGAGACTCCTTGAAAATCGAATTTCGCGACAGAAAGATGCAGTGGAATAGATGCCGCTTCAAACAGATGTCTGTCATACGGAATATCGGTTGCTTCAGCTTGCGCATTTGCAGCTTAACGAAGTACCATGAAAATAGGTCAGTCAGATAAGCGTAACTGGTGTTGAAGCTTGATTGCAGCTCAAGCTGCAGCTCTACTGAGTCGACAATCTCCAGTGAGTGCTCAAAGTGCGCACATATCTCATCACACCACATACGCACATAAGCGTAGAAACGCTTCGAGAGAAGCACTTTGTGACCATCTTCGTCCAAATCATGCCAACTCTTCGGATTGCGCACCATTGTCGGCTTAGTCATAAACGTATTTAGATTAGCCGTAAACTGTGTGTAAAGGCATAAGGAGCATACGGCCGATACACAGATTATCAAACGTAACGTGACCAAGTGTTGCATGCGCAGCTGATGCACTACGCCGAAATTCGACGATAAATAGTTGGGCTCCAGCAGTGCAGCGAACAAGTTTTTGTGAAATCGCCGACCGGCGCATCTGTATTGCAGACGTCTACATAAATAGAATAGCATAATGGACGACGAGCAGCTGAGCAGCGAAAATGTCAGATGTCGCCAATCGCTATAGATGACGAGGAAACTCCAAAATGAATGATGATCCCCAATCGGCGCCATGATGTACAAGCCGCTGACACCAAAAGGTATTGATGCCTCATCGAAATTGTTTGCTATTTCAAGGTACTTGCGACTCGTCGGTATATCGAGCTGGTTGCTGTCCATGAGTTCGATTATTCTGACGGCAATGCTGTTGTCATTGAGTATTACCGGTATTGGATAAGTGAGTGTGGCATTGAGGTAGTTTGCATATGTCTCCATAAGTTTTTGCACATATCCACCAATCTTCACCTGACCATCGAGCTCATATGTGAATGACCATGGATATATTTGATCGGGTATCGTGCGTATGCCGAAGCCTTCTAGGTCTAACATGCGCCGTGGAAACACCGCCACACCGTTAGCACCAAATATTTTCGCTTCCAATTCGAAACTCGGAAATATGCTGTAACTATGAAATATTTTCGTTTCTGGAAAGTCTTCAAAGATCACGACTACATTGAGTAATTTTTCCGCCTCGCAATAACGAAAAACTTGCCTCAAGTACGGTTCTACTGTTTCGTGTGTTGGCCGCTCAGCGCTGATGAGTATAATACGCTTCTGTCGCATGCGTTCGAGTGTTTTAGCGAGTGTCGGCAGTACCGTCTCGAAATCTGTGAGTTGTGCTATGATAAGCATATCTCTATTAAACCTGTTTGCGATTTCTTGATCGGTGGTATTGCCAGTTAGTATGATAACGGGTTTCCTAAAGCGCTCAGTAATATCCTGTAAGAATAGATTTAGTACTTCGCTCTCTCTTAGCTCACCGTAGAACAAGCAATTCTCAAAATATTCCTCGTCGTTTATTGAATCTAGAAAGTCCTTATATCGATGTAGATCGCGATTTGTATTATTCTCTGCAAAAATTGACATTTCAATGAAGCCTATATGCATCATTGCAAAAGTTGTCAAGAGCAGAACTATTTGCCGAGCAGTCGCCATTTTGTGAGATGTCCCGGTAGTTCAGCGGACAATGATTTACTGCTAATATTACTTTAAGTAATGCGCACAATAGAATTACAATCCATTATATATACTAGTGAACTTACTTACTAACCGCACTTTTTAAATAATTATCTCACAATAATTTTTCCGCAATTATTTTCTGATGATATTTTAAATATATGGTATTACTACTTGCTATAATCGTCTGAATGTTTTTAAAGAGTTCACCATAGCGCGTCTCTCCTTTGTTTGCTTCGTAATATAACGGTGATATACGCAGTAAAGTTATTAATTTTAATTGGCCTCCCTCTTCCTCTTAGGGTTATTGGTAAAGCTATCTAGCTCTATATCGCATGACTGAATTGTGCTGAATTATGAATCCAGAAAATAAATCGACGTAGGAAAGCTCGAACAGCAACTGGAAAATTATTTAAACAAAAGGTTATTCTATCTAAATTATTGAAAAGTTAAATTGAATAATTTATTTAAGTTAGTAAATGCATGTCAAACGCACTTGGTTAGAACACTTCCTTTCGGTGTGAAATTGGCTATTAATCGGAAAAAAAATGTTAGTTTTAAAAATTTTCGTTAGCCAGTTTGCGTTGAGCCAGTTCCAAGCGGGGACTAGTTTTAATGAAGTTGTATAAATTTTATTGACATCCACCGAGCCGTTTTTGAGCTACAATGGTCACTAATTCAAAAATCATACTTGTAGTTTGGGAAAACGCATTTGAAATCTTCCATTCTAGTTCCGGAGCGCCCGAAAATTCTCTGGTAATTTTTGCTCAAAAAGTATTTGAAGAACATACTTCAAATTTCCAGAGAATATTTCTAAGATAATATATCCGTACTCTATTGAACTGCAAAAATATTATTTTTCCAAATTCAAAACTAGTAAAAGTGTGACAAGCTGGCTTGTATGTGAATACGTCCAGAAAACCGTTTGGATAACCTTGAATTCAAAAAGAAGCTCGATGTTTGGGTGCCACACGAACTAACGCAAAAAACATGATGGACCGAATTTACATTTGCGAATCGCTGCTGAATCGCAACAAAATCGACCCGTTTCTGAAGCGTATTGTGACTGGCGATGAAAAATGGGTCACTTACAACAACATCGAGCGCAAACGATCGTGGTCAAAGCTCGGGGAAGCGGCGCAGACGGTGGCCAAGACCGGATTGACGGCCAGGAAGGTTTTGCTGTGTGTTTGGTGGGATCGACAATGAATCATCTACTATGCTCTGCTCCCCTATGGCCAAACGCTCAATTCGGCTCTCTACTGCCAACAACTGCACCGCTTGAAGGCAGCACTCATCCAGAAGAGGCCATCGTTGATCAACAGAGGCCGAATTGTGTTCCATCAGGACAACGCCAGGCCACATATAGTCCGGACCTGGCACCAAGTGATTACCATCTTTTCCTGTCTATGGCGAACGCGCTTAATGGTGAGAAGTTGGCCTCAAGAGAGGCCTGTGAAAATTGGCTCTCCGAGTTTTTTGCCAATAGGGACGCAGCCTTCCTAATAAATATAAAAGTGGGACAATGGGCGAAATTTGATACCATTTACGCCTACTTCCCATATAAGAAAATACGTAAAATAAGAAAAGAAATAAGATTCGTCAGATGATTTTAGCTAACAATATATATGTAAATCAGACACCAATGAAGATATCGGAATAATTCTTTGTACACATAGTGCCTTCAGAGTATTGTTTCTTTCCTTTAAAAATGGTCGAAATTACACTACAAATTCTCAAGGCCCCAGATACCGAATATGAAGACTTTAGTGCATAAGGCCGACTTTACTTCGAAAATATCGCCCCAAGTGATCCGTTTGAGATGATTTAATGAAATTAAGAGGTCTTTTTCATTAGGATGTGGTCTGGTGCTTCAAATATATACATATGTAGATCTCAGTAAAGTTTCACTTTATTCGAGAAAACATAACTCAAAAGACTTATTTGCGGAATCAAAATGGAAAGAAACCAACGGCGCTACTGACAATCCAACAAAACATCGAATGTAAGTTAAAAAAATATAATTCAATATCTGAGAATAACACCACATGTCATTGCAAGCACAACAAAAGCAACAAATAATCACACATGCTTTGGTGAATTTCAAATCAAACAAAAGACCAAGACATTACATATTGTGACGCAACACCCGGTCGTTCAGATCACATGCAACATTCACACACCCACCTACAATAATAATAACAACAACAACAGCATATACTTACATAATATGAATAAATGCATATAAAAACGTCCGCAGACAACTGACAACAAATAACAAATTACACAATGCTGCTATACACACAAAGGACGAACGGCGCGCCGGCCAGCGTCAAGGAAGCGCACAGTAAACACAATAAACTCAATGACATTTCGATGGAAATTCAACAAAGCAACAAAACACGTAAGCAGACAGGAATTTTCCAAATATATATACATATACTTACATATATATATATGTATTTGTGTGTGTGTGAGGCGCGTATTTGATTGCGATTTGTTTGTTTGTTATTTGGTGTCGGCGGCGAGCATGTCTTGGCTACCGCAAGCCCATTGCTGAGAGAGGCGTGCGAGCGTTGCGGGTCCAAGGGTATACGGCTGGATTTGTCGGTGCTGCGTTGAGCTATGGCGTCACCGACGCCTGTGGGCTAAACCGTGGGCGAACCACCCGCTGATCGAATCAAACGGCAATTGCAATGCCAATAACAAAGCGACGTGAAAAAGGACAATCGAAGGGTTTGACAGGATCATCGCATGATTGCTGGCTAAAACTACCTTGTGCGCCTAATTGCGGCAGTTCAGAAATGCGCACATGCCACATGCACACTTACATATGTTTGCATAGCTTCGTATGTAGAAATATGTGCCGCAATAAAGTGTCCTTCGTTGTGGTGTACCAACAGAGTGACGCCTACAGGAGAAATGAAGGTATGTACGTATAGTATGTATGTATGAATGTATGTATTTAACAAACTTCATCAATAGCCGGCTGTTGTTGAGCAGTCAAAGCGGGTGGCCCCATTATTTGCTGTGCCAATTGAATTTGGCTATTGAGTTATTAAGCTCACGGCAGGCAGTAATCGGGTTTTTGTGAATATATATTATATATTTTAGATGGGAAGTGGAGTGTTGAATTAATTGATGAAATGTTTCGGATGAAAGTATTACAATGGAAAGAAATTGAATTTAAAACCGATTAAATTACTGCAAATGAAGCTTAGAAGGAGGAACTGATGAACGAGAAGAGCCCGACGCTTGTGCGGAGGGGTTATTTAAGCGCGGTTTGTTATTACCAGAAACTGTGATTATTGGTTGTTGTTGTCCTTGTTGTTGTTGTAGAAACCTCGAAAGTAAAATAACTCCACCCAACCAAGAACAAAAGTCATATGAGCTCTAATGTGTTATATTTTCTTCAAAACTTAAACACATACAATCTAATTTTCCAGATTTTTATTTTCTTTGGGGAGAAAACAACCCAGCAGAGAGTGGCACCTTTAAAAAAAAATATGGCAGACTTTAAGGCTATTCTTCTGTTAATTAATCGTAACTTCACATTCCCAACATACCTTCATTGAAATTTTGTTCTATCCGTTACGCTTACAACGCATTTTATTCTCAGTCGATACTGTCCCATATCCTACTAGGACCTCTCTAAAAGTCACTTGATAAATGTGTTGAGCAGGACCTTTATCCAGTCTCGCTTCAATATCCTAACCTCTCAATGAAAATTAGCTGATCATAACTCTTTATCCCTATCCTTTGCCAACTCTTTTGTGTAATAGTCAAGCTCTAGAAATGGCGAGATCTCATAGATTAGTAAGAAGAAATTATATATTTGTTGGGCTAATCAAAGCGTCGTACTTCGGATTTGTACTACAATACATGCAAGCGATACAGATTTAATGTCCGTATGTAAATAATATAGCTATATCCATTCCTCCCATATTGTAGTTGTAACATATTCCATCTTTTGAGAAACCTCTTTGTTTGCCGACAATTAACAGTTTGGTTATACTTGTAGGCGAAATATTCTATCAATGACATGAACGAAAAATATGGTATAAGTATTTGTCAAAATAAAGCCCATGGTTTTGATCATTTGAAGTTTTTCTGGTAGCCTCTTTACAATATTTGAAGTAGCACCCAACTCTGGTACTTGTTTTAAATATGTATATAGTTTCAAATACTACCTCTAAATTGTATTGAAAACCCAGTACAGTAGAGTAAAAATATTTTATATTTATATTTGAAAATTTTCTGGAATTATACTGTTTCAAGTCATTATTTGCATTTGTTTAAAAATCATCGCAGACTGCATAATTTGCATACAATTTTCGTTTCATTTTATCAGTGGTTGTGAAACCATATATACGCTCTCTGCGTTGAGATATTCGGGTCCTTTATTTGCTGCGAAAATTGCAAAAACTTCGTTGCTCCATAATTGCTCCATAATGGAACGGTACACAAAATCTACGTCAAACTCAGTTGATTGCTGTCATAGTTTTAATATGCTCTGATTAGATTTCGTAATCCTTTGATCCAAATCGTGTTTATCGATTAGAAATTCCGACATTTACTTTAGTCCAATTTTATTATTTGGGCTTCAAGCTCTCAAGCTGTGTGGTACACCAAATCAACGAATATATAGAGTATAGTAAAAAGAAATATATTATATCTCTCAAATATGTCTTTAGTAACTTGTGTCTCGCGTTGTTTAAGTGTGATCGGGTTCCGGCGTTACGAAGATACGATTTGCTTCTCAGAAAGTTTTGTAATTTCTTGACTCACTTGAATAGTGTTTATGGGCCTAACGTTGTCACACGCAATTGAGGTTTCATCACTTCCGCTCGGGCATTTTTGAAGTCGAAGATGCACCTCTCTGGAAGGTCAGCTGTCGAAAATAATTGAAAATGTACAGACCGACCATGATG